GAAACAAATATAAGTTTCCTTAATTTAATATTTTTTGATCCCTTCCAACTCAATTAAATATTCATTTGCACTCGATAACCAAGAATTAACTGTTAAACCACCAATTCCGTAAGGTGGTTCGGCGGAGGAATATATATTTAGGCAGCCCTACAAGACAGTTTTGTCGCAGTTTTTCAATCTACTCGAAAAGGTGTTGGTATTTTTCAAAGTTAACCTGACGTGGAAATACATATTTATTTTTAGTCTCTGGGCCGTTAATCTGTTTGTTCAACTGTGCTGTACATCCACCTGTTTCGGACAGCATAATTCCGGGTGAAGCGAACGATTTCACTCGAAAAACGCGACCATGCGGATCAGTCTATGCCCGGGCAACTACTGTGCCAAAAAATAATTTTCAGTTGCCTTGGCTTTTTTGACTGGAACCATCACCACCACCGTCAACCTTTCGCACAGGTAATTACTGAAGGTTGTCCTCATAGGGAGAAAATATGCGGACTTCAAATCCAAATCACTAGCTAACACGAGAATACTAGGCTGAACTTACAACCCAAAGGGAGGATTCGATTCAAGTAAACCATCATAGGTTCGAATTGAGGACCTACATTTTGGCCTTTAAACATCCGAGGAAGCGAACTCTCTAGATGGCCACTCTGCTCCACGTGATGTGAGACTACTATCTTTCAGGGCCATTGAAGCATTTTACTGGATAGGACTATGACCTTCTGAGTGTGGTAAATTAAAGGTCATATTGGCAAACAATTGTTTCCAGTAATTCACAGATAAGTCACTGCTTGATTTAATTAGCGCAATGATCCTTTTTATCTATGCCATTGTGCTTTTCGTTTCCTCTCGCTACAGTTGACCCACGCCATAATGGATCTGCGAATGCACTCGGGACCACCGGATAAGGTACTGCCTGCCCGTTCAGATGTTAACGGCACCCCGCCCTCGGCTCGCCTTCTCAGGGATATTGTGCGAGAATACTGCGACGAATGGCTTGCCATCGACGAGACTCCTGACTTTCTCGTAGGCAGGCCTATTGCCACCACTCATCGTTTCGGCCATTTGGCTGGCTACGGTGGTCGCTATTACTCCTACCTAATGGCACGCGCTGGTGCAGGCCTCATCTGGCAGAAGGGCTTCGCTGCTGACCCCTGGTCGACCTCCTTCGGTCGGGTAAGCGTCTTTTGCTTAAATAATTCCCCAGCTCTAACTGCCAAAACGGGCCTAGCCTTTGTGTGTCAAGTTAAGTCAAGTTTATTGAAGGAAATATAGGCAAACGCCTTTGAACTCCCTATTGGTCCATAGTATTTAAGAAATGCATCGGCACAGCCGAACTTTTCAAAGAAGTCGTTGAA